CTAGCTTCTTGCTAAAACATGCTAGCATGATGCTAGCAACATGTTAATCATGCTAGCATGATGCTAGCTACATGCTAGTCATGCTAGCTTCTTGCTAAAAACATGTTAGCATGATGCTAGCAACATGCTAATCATGCTATTATGATGCTAGCTACATGCTAGTCATGCTAGCTTCTTGCTAAAACATGCTAGCATGATGCTAGCAACATGCTAATCATGCTAGTATGATGCTAGCTACATGCTAGTCATGCTAGCTTCTTGTTAAAAACATGTTAGCATGATGCTAGCAACATGCTAATCATGCTATTATGATGTTAGCTACATGCTAATCATGTTAGCTTCTTGCTAAAACATTTTAGCATGATGCTAGTAACATGCTAATCATGCTAGCATTAAGCTAGCTACATGCTAGTCATGCTAGCTTCTTGTTAAAAACATGCTAGCAACGTGCTAATCATGCTATTATGATTCTAACAACATGCTAATCACGCTAACAACATGTTAATCATCTTAACTACATGCTAATCATATTAGCATCAAGCTAGCTACATGCTAATCATGTTAGCTTCTTGTCAAAAACATCTATCTATCTATCTATCTTTCTTTCTTACTAATCTATCTTTCTAACTAATCTATCCATCTTTCTTTCTTTCTTTCTTTCTTTCTTTCTTTCTTTCTAATTCCATCTTTAAAACTTCATTCAAACTTCAAGATTATTCAAACGCTCTGGTCTGGCTTTCTCAAGCCAACTTAAAGTTTGTGTCATCAAACTTTTTTTTCTAGTTTAAGTTTAGAATAGATCAATGCTCAAAAAGACGAAGTTAAATAAATAAAAAAACAAGTTATTAGCTTTTCATCAACCCCAGCTTGGTACCCCAAGCGGTTGATAAACTACAAAAAGAAACACATTTGCGAATGGGAAGATTGCAATAATGATAAATCACATTAAACTCCTCTTCTGCTGTCTTTAGAGAGGTGCCTCTGGGAAAGCTGCCCGACTGACTGAGCGTTTTACACAACACAAAGAGACTGCTGAATCTGTGTTCAGCACACACACACACACATCGTTGCCCGTAGCTTTAACCCTCGCCCGCCCCACAGGTCATCACCAGGGGCAGATTCACTGAGGTCGTGAACTACAGCAAGTACATGTTAATAACTGGCCGTCTAATCAACGCTCGCATCATTCACACAGAGATGCAGCAAGTCTGAAAATAGCCACCAGGCTTCTGTTGTAATCTTCCTCTCATCCTGTTCATTCCTCCTACACATCTCTCGCTTTCTCTCTCGCTGGCTGTACGTCCAACAGCAGAGGAAGGAGAACGAGAGGATGATGGAGAGAAGAGAAGGACTGTCAGTCGACTTAAAAATAAATACACCATAATTAAAGGGATAGCTCACCCCAAAATGAAAATTCTGTCAGTAATTACTCTCCCTCATGTCGTTCAACCCCGTAAGACTTTCATCGTTCATCTTCTGAACACAAATTAAGATATTTTTGATTAAATCTGAGAGCTGGATCACTCCTCCATAGGCTTCTTAAGGGATTGAAACTTGCCAGCCTAGAAAAGTTATTAAAGACACCGTTAAAATAGTCCGATCTCAATCTTAAAGAGCCTGAAATGTTCCTATTTTTGTTTTCGGAGTTCCCAAAAACAGTTTAACGTGCATGCAAGGATAAAAAACACTTTATTTGTCTTATAATATGCATTTATTTTTAACTGATTTGCTCAACGACTCCCAAATGATTCGTTCGACGATTCATTTTCCCAAACACCTCCTTTGAGTGACGCGAATCTGCGGCGATTGGTCAAATGTGCTCTTTAAGTTTATCAAGCGACGAGAATACTTTATATAAAAAAATAAATAACGACTTTATTCAACTATTCATTACCTTCTCTGTGGGCCTCGAGATTTCACTTAGAGAAACTACACAAAGCTTCTAGGTTGCACGTCACTACGTAGCAAGTCATTCGAAATAAGCCTGATTTTTTTAGACATTACAAATTGTGTAGAAAATGGCATTTCATGCTCATGTTAAAGACCGTATGAAATGGTTTGATGCTATTTTCTTTCTATGAAGATATATATTTAATATAATATACAATATTTTTGGGTCTGTTTTCCAGGAAAGACTGTACATTTTACATCCACATACAGTACATTATCTGGTAAAACTTCACAATGCAATTCAATAACATGAACAATGAAAATACTTCTAAAGCATTTTAGTAAAAAATGTACTAATGATTTACGATAAAGTGTTAACATTTACACTAGCATAAAACCTAATCTCAAATCTAACACACAGACTAAATGTTATAATGCAAACAAAAAAGCAAACAAACAAAAAAACTGTTTGGTAGTTCATACGGTGACAAGACTTTTGCCGAATAAAATAACATCAAAAAAACAACAACAAAATATGTTCTTTTGTGCTCTGCTAAAGAAATAAAGGTCAACCTTAAAGATGATGACAATTTATCCGATAATAGTCCTGCTGTAATAAGTGCCCTTGTCTTTATGCAAAACATAACTCATTTTCCGTTGATGTGGGGGTTCTTGACATGCTTAGTGAGATTTACCGCTACAATACATTCTATATTGTAGGGTTCGAGTGGTCGTTATGGAAACACATGTTGAAAAGCAGCTGTAAATATAGCGGAGGCTCAGAATGTGTTCAAGCTTTCTCCACACACACACACACACACACACTCACAGAGCGTCCAGTCAACACCAGACACCCTGACCCCTCACGAGACCGCACTTCAGCACCTGTTTCTGATGGGACTGATACAATGCAAACCCTGCTGATGACATCAACACACACACGTCAAAATCATTTGTGTGTAAAATAAACCCCTTCGGCCAAAACACAAAGACTCTATCAGTGCTATATTAGCATTATTTATATATTATTATTATAGTACTTATTAATGTTTGAATTAGCTTTTATTTTTACACTTTCAGTTTTGATCTCAAGTTTTAGTAATTTTGTTGTTATTTTGTCATTTTAATTCGTTTTTGTTTGATTTAAACATTTCTTTATAGCTTTAATTCATCTGTATTTCAGTTCGCCCTCAAGTTAAATTCATTCTGTTCATCATATAAAGCGATCGTGTCTCTTCAGAAGATTTGGACTAAACCGCTCAATTCATATGGATTAGTTTTTCGATCTCTTTGCGAACTTTTTGAAGCATTAAAGTGATAGTTGTGTCAATGGAGGGACAGAAAGCTCTCAGATTTCATCAAAAAGATTTGTTCTGAAGATGAAAGAAAGTCTTACGGGTTTTTTACATCAAGTGATTAAAGTGCTCGTTGCCGCTGGCGCGGATACAGCGTTTTTTCGCGCTTAACTCAGACGCGCGCTTCAATCCGTTGCGGATACTCTCTATTCATTCTAGTGAAATCACAAAACATAATGCACACAATCGTGTCCCTGCTTGATATACAACCACTGATTAGAGCCAGACCGATATATATCGGCTGGCCGATATTAGGCATTTTCCAAAATATCGGTATCGGCAGTTATAATGGTTGATAAATTAATATTTTAAAAATAAAAAATAAAAACGGACAAAACACGCTTCAAAATCATCTCTCCTTGGCCTGTTATATTGAAAATGTTGAAAATTTTACAATTTGCAGTATGATGTTATCTATTGCTAAATTATGGCTCATCATAAACTAGCTAACCACGAAGCAAGCTAATGCCACTATCATCAGTGGAAGACCGCTAACGTTAACATTAATGAGCTTGGAAACAACAACTTTTTCTGCCTAAATAAAGTAATGATTACTGTATTTATAACTAGTATATCTCAAGTTAAAGTCAAGTGAACATTTAGACATAGAGAAAAAGTATCAAATGTATCTTGTGCAGAAAAGTTAGCTTTTCTTTTACACGTGTGTGAAATCCAACGATATTTAATAAAAAAAAATATCGGCCGATATATCGGAATATCGGATTTTAAAACCCCAAAATATTTGTATCGGTCTCGGCCTTCAAAATCCTTTATCGATCAGGCTCTACCACTGATCAATATAATCGGTTGCGTTATCGAACGTTGTGTCGTCGTGGATATTGTCTATTGTATTGCTAAATCCCCCGACCACTATGTTGGCCTAAGACAGCGAAAACTAGACAATACCAAGACCGAGACCATGTAAAAGACGGGTCTCGAGACACACATCAGTAATCGTGTACAGGTCATATGGACTGATGTTTTGATGCTTTTATGGTGTTTTTGGGCAGTTTAACAGCCCCTGCTCACCATTCACATTCTTCTCTCCCAAAACTAGACATGAATCTTAAAACTGTACAAACAACTGAACGGCTGTTAACAATCACGGCCTCATTTCATCTGTGTCAATTGTAGAATACAGTCCATATCCACAAGAACATTATCCGTCCCTTGTTAAATAATACTACTCGTATTTGTCCTTCTTTCTCCTCCGCTGCGAGCGGTTCTACAGAACGAGAGTAATGTGTACATTTGTTCCTGGATGTCAGAGTGTAGGAGGGAAGTGGGCACAGATGGATTGTGGGTAGTGTTACGGATGTAGCGCTGCATCACCAACCCACACACATACAGATCCTCATCACCCGGGCCGGATCGAACCTTGCCTTCCTGCGTTCAGTAATGAAGGACTTCAGGTTCATGTAGTTCCAGACACACACAAAATCACGTGTGGGCTGAAGTGGTGCTTAATAACAATCACAAACACGCATGAATGCAAATGATCCCAAACAGCTTTTCATCCTTTGTGCATGTTCTTTATACGTCCATCACTCACTTCCACAGAAAGACAGATGAAAGAAGCAGAGACAAAGAAGAGAGGACACAGCTAAGCAATGCATATACAAACACACAACATACAACAGGCAGGCAGTAACATAAACACCCTGAAGGTCAGTCCACATAGTGCCGCCCACAGACTGCAGACAGATATACAGCATGAGGAGCGAGAGCCATTGCACACACGCACAACACACTCACCAGATCATCCAGCGCGTAACGCAGGAGTCCGTGTTCATACAGGAGGAAAAAGCGTCTCTGCCATTTCTGAAAGAGAAGAAAACAAGATTGCATAAGCGAAACGTGAGGGTGTTTTAGATCTTGAAAGTGTGCTTTAAGTGTCTAAATTCTTCTTTTAGTGCCACTGTATATTAATTATAATGTTTATAAATTCATGCGGCCTGACTGATATGGTGCCCGACTGATGTCTCATTTAGTGTTTTGGTGTTTTTAAATTGCATATGCTCTTCAGCGCTTTGGATATCAGCAAAAGCCGTTTGGTTGACCACTACATCAAACATTTACATGCTTATATATACTACATATGCTTTGAGTTATTTTTATCTTATTTCCATCTCGTTTGTCAATCTGTGATTTCCTGTTTGCTGTCGAATTGTTTCCCATCCCACAAACTCCCTCTCCTGCTGTTTCTCACGAGTTCAGCTTGAGAGACCCAGAGTGAGTCAGCGACTCCATGGCCCCCTCACACACACACACGACTCGTTCGTTCGTTCCTTGACAAGCACACATACAGTACACACACACACACACACACACAGATAGCACTCAAATACACACAGAAAAGCAGCAATGTGAGTAAAGCAATAAAGAAAAAACTACTGGTCCTTCAGTGAAATATATATAATGCATGACATCTTATATATATATATATATATATATATATATATATATATATATTATGCTGTTCTGTTGAGATGGACTTTTTAAGATTACGGTCACAGAGACCCAATGGCACACAATAACCATTATATATAAATTTGAGAATTATAAAAAAATAACCATGATATATAAATTTGACAATTATTAAAAAATAGCCATGATATATAAATTTGAGAATTATTAAAAAAATAGCCATGATATATAAATTTGAGAATTATTAAAAAATAGCCATGATATATAAATTTGAGAATTATTAAAAAATAACCATGATATATAAATTTGAGAATTATTAAAAAATAACCATGATATATAAATTTGACAATTATTAAAAAATAACCATGATATATAAATTTGACAATTATTAAAAAATAACCATGATATATAAAGTTGAGAATTATTAAAAAATAACCATGATATATACATTTGAGAATTATTAAAAAATAACCATGATATATAAATTTGAGGATTATTAAAAAATAACCATGATATATAAATTTGAGGATTATTAAAAAATAACCATGATATATAAATTTGAGAATTATTACAAAATAACCATGATATATAAAGTTGAGAATTATTAAAAAATAACCATGATATATAAATTTGAGGATTATTAAAAAATAACCATGATATATAAATTTGAGGATTATTAAAAAATAACCATGATATATAAATTTGAGAATTATTACAAAATAACCATGATATATAAATTTGAGAATTATTAAAAAATAACCATGATATATACATTTGAGAATTATTAAAAAATAACCATGATATATAAATTTGAGGATTATTAAAAAATAACCATGATATATACATTTGAGAATTATTAAAAAATAACCATGATATATAAATTTGAGAATTATTAAAAAATAACCATGATATATACATTTGAGAATTATTAAAAAATAACCATGATATATAAATTTGAGGATTATTAAAAAATAACCATGATATATAAATTTGAGAATTATTAAAAAAATAACCATGATATATAAATTTGAGAATTATTAAAAAATAACCATGATATCTAAATTTGAGAATAAAACATAATTTGTTGAAATGAAATAATAGGAATTTACTAACAAATGTATAACTTAATTATATAATAATCATATTATTAATCTCATGTTATTTTCTCCTTAAATAATTTTAATAATTTCATCTGACATAATAAAAGATCAATGAATTTTACATTTTTTTTTTTTAAGAAAAAAAGAAAGAAAATTAAGCATTCCTTATCCCAAAAAATGTTCCTTTTGATTCTGGGGTGAAATATGACCTGGACATTTCTTGCCAACATCCATGAGATGCAGTCTATTAGTGCAGGTGAGAACAGCAGAACAGCACATTCTAGAATGCGCCTAAAAATAGTGTTAGTTTGTTAGACATTTTTGCCAAAATGAACTTGTTAAGTTAAAAACTGCAGTGCTGCATTATAATCCATATTCCGTGCCAAGTTTCTGGTGACGTTTTTCCAGGGCTTTACATTACATTTGCATTTATGCATTTTATGCAACTTGCATTGCATTTCAAGGTACACATTTACATTCTTGCTTTCCCTGGGAATCGAACCCAAGACCTTGGCGTCGCAAGCGCCACCGCTCTACTGTTTGAGCTCCAGGAAAGCTTTAAAGAGCCGTGCAGTCATACGAACCCGTGATCTGTGCAGAGGATTGTCAAAGTTTGTTCCTTCAGGCGCCAGGAGCAGCCATCCACCGTAGATGGGTTTTGCCTGAAACATGCAACACATGATAAGAACAATAAAAAGGGGGAGGAGGAGTACATGTGTTTTACTTCTTCCTACTCCTTTTGTACATGTAAATAGAGTTTTTTTTAAGTACTGGAATGTAAGAAGTTTTATTTTGTTGTTCATCTGTTTTTTTACCATTATTTTCATGTTCAAAATAAAGAAATCAATCAATCAAAAAAACTTGTGGCATCTCAGTGGCACACTGGAACAAACTGTAATGTCAATCAGTCTCTTTTTGTCTGGAATGTGAAACATTCTCTCACACACACACACTTGCATGTCTCAATGCACATTAAACTGGGAGTTAAAAAATCTATTTCACCACACAACAACACACTTCACTATTGTGGAACCATGCCAAGGAAAAGTACCACAACATCTCTGCATGTGACGCTCCTGTGACTGCACAACAAAGTGCCGACGAATGGATTTGTGATCGTACAGAAACTCCACAGAAAACGCACAAAAGAGAAACATGAAACACAAGGGCAAAAGTAGTCCTCTTTCAAAGCTCAGCAGACTTATTGGAGATCTCAGATAAGTTTCATTTTAGTACAGAAAACTTGTGTTTATGGTTCTCCAAAAATGCCTTAAAGGGAAACAATCTAGACTATAGTTAATATAGCTATAATGTGGATATAAGTTTATGTCATTTGCTCTTGGAGAAATATTTGCGTTCACGCTGAGATGTGACTTCTGTTCGCACACTTTAGTGAATGTGAGCACAGTTATTTGAGATCAAGGTACAATATGTAATAATTTTGTAATAAAATATCCCAAAATCACTTGCAGTGTGATATATTTCAACTGTAAGCACACAGTTGTGTACTTACAATATCCCAAAAGTCTCCAAAGATTTTTTATTTCAGAGAAATTCCTATATTAAATTAGTGGCGTCCTGAAAAAAAACGTCGCCTGTTAATGACGCAGTCTCCGCGCTATCCTCGGTTTCCGTTCATACTGCCATAGCCGTGACGTAACCATGGCGACAGACGTGGACAACCGCGTAGAGCGTAACGTTTAGCGGCACGCAGTTCTTGTTTCTTTCAAACATAGACCATGGACAAGCAGACTTTGGGACAAACTATAATGAGGATCAACATTTTTGAGATGCCGAGAGCTAGCGTCCGCGACAACCTTGGACTCGACAGAGCTTCACGAATCACGACTTGACAGCTTTATTAGACAGGTGAGCAAATGTACATAAAACAAATCAATATCTCTAATATATGGTCAGTATGTTATTCTAATGTTGATCTTGCTTACTGCTAGTTTCGTACAGCAAACGAATGAACACATAGTATAGCATTTTAACTTTCAACACACATTTAAATGCGGTTTAGTGTAATAGTGTAACGTTAGACCAAGTGAAGCAGCGCTGCGTTCCCCCACAAGTCTAATTCGTCTAACAAACTGACCTGTGTGAGTAATACAGCACTTACGGGTAGTTCGGAAGAATTAAATGTCCTTATTCCTTTGTATTCGCGGGACTCGCTTGTGATTTCTGTCTTTTTAGTAATCGCGATCTGCTTCATACTAAAAAAACATGAATGTTTGCACTCATCCATAAACATTATTAGATCTATCAGCTTGACATCGAGTCCCATCATTCAGATCATCACTGCGTCATCAACCTACGACTTTGTTATTTTACGCCCTCTTGTGGCAAAAAAACCCTAAACATTGTGCCTTAACGAGATCTCAGTTTTGATTTTTCTCCACTAAGGAACAGAAAAGAAAGGGTGACAAATGAATGCCAGTTTATTGCCTGGTTAAAGGAATGTCGGTTTGACAACTTGAACGATGGCCCGTGAAAAAGTCTCAAACGCTAGAAAAAAGGTAAGTCTCCTCAGATCAAGCGCAGGATGAAAAAAACAAACCAAAGGGACATTAATTTCTCTAGTTGTTGCACAGCAAGACTGTACTGACTCAGACCCTTTTGGTTAGGGTTCAACATACTTCTCTAATTAATTCAGCAGAACAATTATCCGTGGATAAAATCTTCATTTTGTAAACTGATTTCGTACAATTCCATATCAATGACGTCATCATAATTGCATTTGGTTAAAGTAAAAGGTTAACACTACACTTGCTGCACTATTTCCCTTTAGGAAATGTAAATCTAGTTTCTCCTGATCTTCTGCTAATGGGAGACTCGGTGCTCTGGGAAATCAGTGATGAGGAGCGGACAGGGACGCAGAGAGAGAGAGAGAGAGAGAGAGAGAGAAAGAGAGAGAGAGAGAGGCTAATGTAGGCCAGATTTTCCTCTTCAATAGTTAAAGTTTGTTCTGTTTATTTTTACAGCCCCCCTTTTTCTCTCATAACAGCGGAACTGAGCGCCGACTGTCTCACAGAGAGTGTGTGCGTGTGTGTGTGTGTTTCAAGGGGGAGGGTGGATTCTAATAGCATGACAAAAAGTATGGACATAAATATGTGTGGAATGAACAACTCAGAAAAACCTGACCAACTGCAGCGAGAGAGCGAGATGGGTATATTATCGATGCCTGACAGAACGACAGCCCTGAATCATTATTACGACGGCCTCATGCGACGTACACCTGAACAACAACAACTACTCTGGATTTTTGCATTTTTTGTTATTGTTGGTTGCTAGGCAATTTCACAATGATCTGAATCAAACTGTCCATTTAAGTGAATCGATTCATAACTCTGATTCGATAATTATGGCATCATTCAACGTTCAATGAAGTCTTTTTTGCTGTTTGTTTATAAATATTGCTGGTCTTCGTCATGTACGTGTAAAACACGTCATCCAGAATCTTCATGCCAAGATGAAATCAAACTGACTTCACACATTATTACAACAACAACTGTGTTTTAATGCTAAGTCGTAGAAATTACAGGATTAAAGATGCGTAAACCTTTGAGCATGAAGTCAAAAACACAAAAATAAAGTCCTGGTATGACGAGAGTAGTTTTAGCAATATGGTGCTGAGGTTTTATTTTGAAATAAAAAAGTAATATTTTAAGAATAAAAATTGCACAAGCATTCTACTAATAGTATTTTTTTTTAATTCATTCAAACAATATACTACTTTATTCTTAAAACATCATGACTTTAATCTTGTACTGATTTGACTTAATTCTAGTACTTCTTTACTTTACAACTTTAATCTAGGATTGCTACGACTATTTTCGCAATCTTCTATTTTTTTATGTGACACTAAAATGCTGTTGTACATTATTACCTTTCTAAAGTCCTTTTACGTTTTCAAACACCTGTAATACAGAGATTTTTTTAATAGAATTAAGCCAATTCAATAAAAAATAAATCTTTTTCCGAGTCAATTCGTTCGTTGAATGAATCAAGTGACTCGGAAAAAGATCATTTCGATGAACGAGTTCGAACAGGAGAGTCACGATTCACGAACTCGCATAACAGAACAGAGCATATGAGCTTATAAAACTTAAACTTTTTTATTTATTTATTAAATGAGCGATCATTTCGCTTGATAAGACCCTTATTCATCGTCTGGAATCGTTTAAAGCCCTTTGAACAGTTTGTCTTTTGGACCTTGAACCGTTTGGTTCCCATTGAAGTCCATTATATGGAGAAAAATCCTGGAATGTTTTCATCAAAAACCTTAATTTCTTTTCGACTGAATAAAGAAAGACGTGGACATCTTGGATGACATGGGGGTGAGTAAATTATCAGCAAAAGTTTTTTCAAAAGTGAACTACTCCTTTAACAGGTACTAAAGACCTGATTCATTTCACTGTGTCAACTCAATTTCTAAGTGCTTTCTAAAAAAAGACATCTGTGCTGCTTTGAGGCTCATTTCTCTGAAGCGCTCACTTGCGTGTCCAAATATTCAGTCTTTCTTTGCTTCATCACTTCATTCTTTGATAACAATCCAACCTATACAGTGAGACAGATGGCAAACGGAGGCCACGTCACCTCGGTAATATAGTCGAGACCCAGCTGTGGTAATTTTTAAGGATACTGTCTGGAATCCCCCGGCGTCTGCGTGTGGCCTTACAGTAAAACCGTTCTGGAGCTGGAATCTGGGCTCGAAATAGTGCTGACGCTCCGATACGAGACGTACCTTTGGTCTAAAACTGGTGAAACGACACTATACGGTTCCACTGATTAGTAAATTAGCAGACAATCTTAGCCAAAATAAAAGAGTCAGTCCTAAAGATCATAATAGTGATGGATTCGAACCCACAATCTTTCAGTTAACAAATTTTTAACCACGCAAAACTTAAAGACAACGAGGAGGCAGGTCGCTTAACAACCCTGTGCATCTGTTAAACTGCCTCATTAATTACAACTAATCACTAATTAGTCATCTTCTGGCTGACACCTTCACCCAACACAACAGTTCATCCAAAATGGATCAGTCCTCAAGGTTAAGTGTCTCAATCAAAGCCGTAATGGTAATTAGTATGGATTAACCTCTATGGGGTTTGAACCTACAACCCTTATATTTAAACACTACGCCAAAGCACATGCTATTGGTTGTCATTATTACAAACCTGTGATCTAGATTTACAGACAACAGTAAACAAGGGGAATTCAGATAAATTTGACTCACTTTTCGAGTCATCTGAATGTCTAAAAGTAGTTCATGTAGTCAAATTCACCTTGTATAACCTGGTAATGAATGGTTACAACAATATGCATAAATAGTTTTTACATGATAATCAAACAATACCATGGATTTACCATGGTATTATGGTAGGGCCAACTGCAATCCTCTAGAATAGGCTGTGCAAAACCAATCTTGGCTTGAATCATGGAACCAGGCCTAAAAACCATAGTACTTTATTAGTAGTGAAGTTTTGACGAAGTTTGGTTATTATCCAGTGCCCCAGATTGGCTTTAATGTGCTATATGCAATATAGTACATTTCTCCCCCATTATACTCCATTTATCTGGTACATGTCCCAAAAAACATGGTATTTTGGTGAGGTCACTCATGTTGTGCTAAATGTCATTCTCTACAACATAGTATTACCATGGGACTTTATTGTTAGTGGTCAGCAGTTTGCTGTTCATTACTTCTTTGACACGGTAAGTTATTAGACAGAGTATCAGTCTAGTCAGGCATCAGAAAATAAGATTAAAAAGTTTGAAGACAAACTTTGAAGACAAGCCAGAAAGTTAGAAGTAGTTTTAACAGCTTTAAGTTTGAAGATTTTCAGTTGTAATAGTTTTAGGTTCTAGTTTTGTAGTTTTAAAACATAGATAGTTAGATAGATAGATAGATAGATAGATAGATAGATAGATAGATAGATAGATAGATAGATAGATAGATAGATAGATAGATATTTCATTTAGAGATAGACTATAAATATTACATAGAAAGGATAAAAAATAGATAGATAATAAATATTACATATAGAGAGATAGATAAACTATAAATATTACATAGAAATGATAAAAATAGATAGATAGATAGATGGATAGATAGAATTAAAAAAAACATTAGAAAGAATGGAAGCTTAAATTAGTCTCAATAGCATAGAAATAGTACATAATGGCAGCTAATGGAGTCTAATGAGCCTCTCCAATTGTTAAAATTTGAATTTTGAGTTTCAACGGTCTCAACTGAATGATTAGGTATAGTTGTGTAGATATGTTACCTGTGATAAGTCTTCATCACTCAGCAGGTGCGCGTCTCGAGCCTTGAAGCAGTTCTGGCATTTACTCTTGTTGAAAATATTGGCCTGAAATTTTCGGCAGGCGTTATCTTTCGCTGACATACTCTGTGCCATGAGTGTGTGTCTTTGTGTTCCCGTTATTTTAAAAACTGCGCAATAATTCCACCGGAGAGTCCTCCCCCGCGCGATGCAGTCCGACCCTCATCACAAACTCACTGCGATCATCATTTATTTATGCACAACCATCTGACCGGACCCACACTAAGGGGGCGATAACAATAATAACAATAACAAAAAATAATAATATAATTAATTTAGCCAAAAAGTTTTAATTTAGACAAGCTCTCTTGGATTGATTTCTGAAGGGATTCAGTCCGGGACATTCCGCGCTCTCGATCCATGCGCGTCCCCGATCCCCCGCAGGCACACGGACGCGCGCTGATGCGTTACAGTGCGAGTTCCAAAATAATATGCCAAACTTGTACAAACACTCTAAGTAAATGGTGATGGAGAGGAGGTGTTTACTTTCCACTAGCTCACGGCTTCCGACGAACCTTTCAGCGAAACGTGAAGACAACTATCCCGAAACTCCATGTTGTGGAACAGTGTGGATTCAACAGAGAGTTTTCGGTCCGAAGACGGATTTTTGCAGGTTTGGGTGGGCACGGTGGGTCCGTTTCCCACGGTCACAGCTGATCACACGGGTTCTCCACACATACTACACACTCAACACACATACACACGCAGGAATGAAGGGGGCGGGGCGAGACTTAACTGACATGTAGCGTAAACCAATCACAATAGCGGACACGCCTACTGTTTGTAGTCAGAGTACGCCAGTGTCCAATCAAATTGTTCAATCACACTGATTTTATGGAATAACAGGAATCAAGGTCGGTGGACTGTGCACGATGTAAACTGAAGTTATTTAAACTTACAAGCAGGATATTATATGCATTTAAACTACGTTTTAGTGATTTCGTCTGGTTATAAAGTGAAAAATGACGACACTAAATAATGTATGTGTTAAGATATTTGATAACTATCCATGTAACGCCCCCAGATAGTGACCAATCCTACCTGAGAGGCTCTCCAGTGCCCCCGTTTGGCTTAAATGTGGAATGAGAGCCTGGATTAAAACATATTTATTTTATTCGTTGTATGTTAAAATAAAGCTGATTAAATATATATATATATATATATATATATATATATATATATATATTTAAATAATGATTTTATTATATTAGTATATCTTAAGTTAGAAACCTAAAAAGTAATATATTTTAAGTAAAAAACTTAAAATCTATAATTTTTTATTGTATTATATTTTAAAAACGTTTAACAATGAGACAACAATCATTTGCAATGAGATTTCAAAAAGTCTATTGGTGGCACAAAACTTTATTTTTGTAAAAAAAAAAAAAAGAAAATTTAAAAATCCTAAAAATTAGCAAAATGCATATTATTTAATCATAGACATATTATTACAGGTATGCAAGGCATTAATAGAAGTTCACATGCAGTATTAACAATTGAATCTAATCAATTTCACCACGGTTTGAAAACGACATATCAGTAGTTTTACAGATAAAAAACACTGATTTCCTCAAATGAGTCAGACAATAACATTGTTCATACGTGACAAAGCAGATGTTTGTTTGTTCGACATTATACAACAGATACCACACCAGCTTCCTCAATAACATAGATTGATTATTCATTTCTCATTTCTGACAGTCAAGACTAGTTTAGGGATGGCCTAAACTTGTGTTCAGAGTTAATCCTGAACTTTATATGACACACTTGGGAGAGCACATGTTCCCTTTAGTAACGTCCAATGTCCCAGATTAAGGGAGAAGAGAGCCAGAAGGTCTTCTAGGTCCTGTTGATGGAGGGAGCGTTGCTGATCTCCTCGTTGTCCTCTTCATTCATCAGCGGTTCTCTGTCTGTCTGAGCGGGACTCGGAGCTGTGGATCTCTTAGTGGTCTTATTGAGAGTGCCTCCCTGTAAACACACACGTGTGTCATTGCATTTAAATAATAACTGTTCATATTCTACTTCATTTTATCTGTCGATTAAAATTATGACATTTTTTTTTCCTTTGGTGTAAAATGCACTGATAAATGATGCACAATACGATCAGAAATGTACATAACACAAGTAAATAGGGTTAATTTCTAGTTCATTTTCACTGCATTAGGTCATGAACAACACTGTCAAAGCAGGACAATCCAATCCACCTCAATTAAAATGGACTGATACACTTTCAAAGCCAACAATAACCTCTGCTATTCCAAAGTACTGTTGACTCAAACCTCAGTTCATGTGTCAGGCGGCACAATCGGACTATAAGACACTGATATCAGTTTCTCTATCAGTGTTACTCATTTCTAACAAATGATGACTTAAAAAAGCTGTAAAATGTCCGTGCCAAAGAAGTTTGTAAATGGAAAAAGCTTAGGTGGGTAAGCTGAAAAATGTAGAGAATTACCAGTAAGTCCAAAAGTTTTGTAAGCATTAAAAAATATTATATACTGTGTGTATTACTGTAAAAACTTATTTTGCTATTTCATTATATTATTGTATATCTTGAAATATATAAAAAGATACTTGTATATATATATTTTAATAAAATATCAATTTATATTTTCATTATATTATATTAAAAAGTTTTGTAAGCATTAAAATATATATTATATACTGTGTGTATTACTGTAAATACTTATTTAATTATTTCATTATATTATTGTATATCTTGAAATATATAAAAATACTTATATATATATTTTAATGAAATATAAATGTATAATTTCATTATATTTTTAAGTTTTGTAAGCATTAAAAATATTTTATACTATGTGTATTACTGTTAATACTTATTTAATTATATTATTGTACATCTTGACATATAAAAAAATTCTTCTGTATATATATTTTAATAAAATATAAATGTATAATTTCACTATATTATATTAAAAAGTTTTGTAAGCATTAAAAATATTATATACTGTGTGTATTACTGTAAATACTTATTTAATTATTTCATTATATTATTGTATATCATGAAATATAAAAATACTTGTATATATATTTTAATTATATATAAATGTATAATTTAATTATATTTTTAAAAGTTTTGTAAGCATTAAAAATATGTTATACTATGTGTATTACTGTTAATACTTATTTAATTATATTATTGTATATCTTGAAATATTAAAAAAATACTTGTATATATATATATATATATATTTTAATAAAATATCAATTTACATTCTCATTATATTATATTAAAATTATATACTGTGTGTATTACTGTAAATAATTAATTATTTCATTATACTATTGTATATCTTGAAATATAAAATAATACTTCTATATATATATATTTTAATAAAATATCAATTTATAATTTCATTATATTATATTAAAATAAACATTTAATTTTTTGCTTACAGTATGTTTATACAGTAATTGTGCAAGGAAATTTCAAAAAGGGGCAATATTCTTAGTCCCTTGGTGGCACAAAACTACTATAAAAACGAAATTGTTTTGTGATAAATTTTCTATGATTATGAGTGCAAGCTGCTCCTCTTATCGGACTTCACTATAGATGGAGACAATAAGAGGCAAATCAAGCTTTTCAGGCTCTGAGAAAACCTTACAATTATGCCGGTCAAGGTTGCGTGAAATCATCCGTCTTTGAACATCACAACAATGTGAAGCGTCACTCGACTCGTCCTGCTCGCCCTGTTCTACAAACTCTTCACAGTTCTCGTCTATTCATACTGTTGCTATGGTTACCAGAGGTTACTAATCTGCGATGGGATCTACAGTATGGTGATTCAGAGAGATGTGGCGATAGTGGGCGAATGTGTGTGTGTGTGTGTGTGTGTTACCTGTCTGTAGTCAACGATGTTGAGTATTCCAGAGGTGATTATGCAACTGATGGTATTAGCCAACATGAAGATCATCATATGTTGCCATCTCCACAGCGGGATCTTAACATCACTGACACACAAAACATATATTATGGTATAGACACGGTACTATACATTAAATATATTGTATGTCTGTGTGTCAAAAAAACAAGTTGTAGATATACAACTTGTTTTTTTATTGAATTCAATATACATATTTTAGAATAATATAAGATTGTTATACCTGTATAAATAGTGCAGTAAAAGATCTATAAATGAGCAGGTATGCAATCTATACTTAGATACCGATTATGATGTGATATCGAAAACGTTTATTTATTTATTTTTTTTATTTTTTCCCACTTTTTAATTTTTTACTGCTTTTGAATGAAGACTTTTTATTAGTATATTGCTATGTGCAATGAACATAAATGTCACCTGGACTTGGTGCCCAGTATCTGTCCCACCACCAGATTGGAAATGCCGATGCCGATCATCTGTATGGATGTTGCCAATCCCATCGCAGTGCCCAGTGTGGCTTGAGGCACCACCAGTGGGATAGAAGGCCACATGCTCGCCTAACACAATAGAAGACACACGTGAAAAACCAAAAGCTACCAGAAGATGGCGAAGTGATTTGGTGCCTAAAGTGGAAGAATGGGTAGATGTAATGCTAAGCATTTACAATACGGAAAAGCTAACTGCATCCCTTACATTGGAAATCGATAAAAAAATCGAAAAATCTGGAAAGGATGGCTTAAATATATAAAGCAACATAGAACGGATTTTGTTTAGAGACTTGTGGTAAGGTCTGAATGTTTATGAATACCTCTCAAATTTACGATGTAGATGGGTGAAGAAAGAATTTTTTTTTTACTATGCAAGGATTGTCAATGAGGAAAATACATACTATACCCCGGTTCTAAGCTACAGTTGTTGTTTTTTTTCTTCTGTTTTTCTTGTTGTTGTTTGTGTTTTTCTTTGGTTTATGTTTAAAAAAAAAGTCTTATCACTAAGGGCTTTCAAGAAAAATCAGTTATGACTGTCTTTGAACATTGTATGCCCGGTTATACTGTAAAATTCATACTGTGTGAAAAATAACAATAAAAATATAAATGATAAAAAAAGAAAAACCAAAAGCAAGAATCAAACATGTACATTAACCTGTAGTGCGTATATTCTTCTGTTGTTTCACTTTATCGGCAAAACAACTAAATTCACAATATTGGCACACTATTTTTCAAGTAATGCGACGACGCACAAACACAAGAGAAAAAAGATACAAAACTCTAACCCTAAAATATAATTTTAGTGTATTTCTCTTTTCCTAGAGGAAAACCTATACAAAAAGTGGCACAGCTTACCCCACTCTGCCCTATTGAGCTTGCATGAACATCTCAAATTAATTTCTCCTATTTCAAAATGTCAGCATCGTCTTCAGTAATTGGAGAATGCTGAATACTTCAACCAATCACAAGCTCTCTTACAGTGTTTGCTGACCACACACTTGATACTCACAATACTTTAATAGTTCACGTCAATCCATAGTGTCTGCTGTCTGTGTGTGTGTGTGATACTCACAGCAGCAAATGAGTAAGTGATGCCGAGCCAGATGGTGGATACGAGAGGAGGGACGAACGTGAAGGCCAGCAGACCAAACACAGGCAGTGTCAACACGGCACAGAGCCCTGCAAACACACCGCGCAGACCCACATAGTCCTAACACACACACAGAAACAATGTGTTCATGTTTTCAAAAATACAGTGAAGTCATTAATATTGTGAAATATTATTACAATTCAAATGAACTG